GGCTTAAAAAGAAAACCCTGGAATATATTTTCCGACCTGAAAATGAAATCCTAGCTTAAACATGAAATCCTGGAATAGATTTCTTAACAAGGGTTTCAATAGTAACCAAAGTCTGAGCATGTATCTTTTCCTTCCTTAAAATTTTGCTTCTATGTGTGGCGGTGCTATGGACTGAATATTTGTGTCCTCTGCAAATTCATATGTTGAAGCCTTAACCACCAATGGGATGGTCTTTGGAGGTGGAGTCTTTTGGAGGTAATTAGGGTTAGATGAGGTCATGAAGGTGAGGCCCCCATGATGAGATTAGTGCCCCATCTACACTACTGTGTTATGGCCACCCGAGCTAAGACGGGAGGTAATATGTATTAAGTACAGGAGGTAATATGTATTAAGTATGTACTAACTACGTGTGAGGTAGTGTGTCACATTTAATCTTTGCAACAAAACCAAGAGGTAGGTATTAATATCTCGATTTTGCCAGGGAGGAAAATAAAGCTCAGCTTCACACAGCTAGATGGTGATGGTAGATATCAAATTGCCCTCCACTCCAAAAAAGCTGCACCATTTATTCTCTCACTAACAATCCCCATACACTTAACGACCTCCATAACTAACCTTCAACCCTTTTTAAAATCCGTGATCTGTCTCACTGTAAGGTACCATTGCTTCCTTTTTTGAGCTAATGGTTGAAATTGGAGACAGCTTCTGAAATTGGTAAAATATTGGCTTCGATGCTTCCATCTCAGCATATACACATCTATGTGAAGATTCTTGGGGAAACAGAAGGGTGCTGGGTACCAGTACAGACAGGTAATAGTGCCTTAGGAATCAAGAGCAACGTTTAGGAGAGAGCTGGAGGGAGGGACATCCTAGTTCTACCCTGTTTATTGCTCACATTATTCTAAGGGGGCCCTGAGCCCAGTGGTGAGATTAGGAGAGCTGAAATTGCTTTGGAATTGAGTGATGTGTTCCTAGTACACTGTAAATTTTGACTGAAGTCTGCCTCTTGGGTGAGGAACTTAGGCTACTCAGAGCCCCACAAAATAGGGACCTAAAACAAACAAAAATACAACTGAAGGAATGACGGAACTAGGACCTCCTGGATCATCCTTCCCCTATTGTCTTCTCAATAAGGAAAGTAAGTAGCATCAGCCCGAGGCGGTGGGATAATGTCCTCATGCTGAAGGCTCTCTTGAATGGTAGCCTCCATGAACACAGGTCAAATATCAAGGTTACAGCTGGGAAGTAGCCGAGCTAGTATTTGAACCTGGTCTCTTTTTTTTCCCTTTCAGCTTTATTGAGTTATAATTGACAAAGTTGTAAGATATTTAAAGTGTACATCATAATGATTTGATATACATATACGTTGTGAAAGGATTCCTCCCAGCTAGTTAATTAACACATTCAGCACTTCACATATTTTTATATGTAATATATAATATGTTATATATATAAGATATGTGTGTTTAGTGAGATCATTTAAATTCTACTCTCAGCAAATTGCAATTATACAATACAGTGTTATCAACTATAGTCACCATGTTATACATTAGATCCTTATTTATTTTATAGCTGCAAGTTTGTACCCTTTTATCAACCTCTTCCTATTTCCCCCACCCCCCCAGAGGCAAACACTTTTCTAGTTACTGTTTCTATGAGCTTGACTTTTTTTTTTAGATTCCACATATAAGTGATACGATGCAATATTTGTCTTTCTCTGCCTAACTTACTTCACTTAGCATTATGCCCTCAAGTTCTATCCATGTTGCCACAAACAGCAGGATTTTCTCCTTTCTCATGGTTGAATAATATTCCATTGTATACATATATCCCATATCTTTTTATCCATTCATCTGCTGATGGACACTTAGGTTGTTTCCATGTCTTGGGACTGTGAATAACACTGCAATGAACACAAGAGTACAGATATCTCTTCAATATCCTGTTTTCATTTCCTTCAGATATATACTCAGAGCAGGATTGCTGGATCATATGGTAGTTCTATTTTTAATTTTTTGAGGAACCTCCATACTGTTTTCCATAGAGGCTGCACCAATTTACATTCTCACCAACCGTACACAAGGGTTCCCTTTTCCCCATATCCTTGCCAACGCTTATTTTTCGTCTTTTTGAGTATAGCCATTCTAACAGGTGTGAGATGATTTTATTGTGATTTTGATTTGTATTTCCCTGATGATTAGTGATGCTGAGCACTTTTTCATGTATCTGTTGGCCATTTGTATGTCTTCTTTGCAAAAATATCTATTCAGTTTCTCCTCCCATTTTTTAATCCGATTTTTTTTTTGCTATTGAGTTGTGTGAGTTCTTGTATATTTTGGATATTAACCCCCTATCAGATATATGGTTTGTAACTATTTTCTCCCATTCCGTAAGTTGCCTTTTCATTTTGTTGAATGTTTCTTTTGTTGTATAGAAGCTTTTTAGTTTGACGCAGTCCTATTTGTTTATTTTTCCTTTTGTTGCCTTTGCTTTTGTTGTCTAATTCAAAAGATCGTTGCCAAGATCAATGTCAAGGAGCTTACACCCTATGTTTTCTTCTAGGAGTTTTACAGTTTCAGGCCTCAAGTTTGTCTTCAATCCATTTTAAGCTGATTTTTGTGTATGGTGTAAGATAGGGGTCCAATTTCATTCTTTTGCATGAAGCTGTTCATTTTTCCCATCACCACTTATTGAAGAGACTATTCTTTTCTCATTATATATTCTTGGCTCCTTTGTCATAAATTGACTATATATGCATGAGTTTATTTCTGTGTTCTCTATTCTGTTTTGTTGATCCAAGTGCCTGTTTTTATGCCAATACCATACTGTTTTGATTGCTATAGCTTTGTTATGTATTTTGAAATCAGGAAGTATGATGCTAAGCCTGGTCTATTTGATTATAAAAACTGTGTCGTTCCTATTACGTAAGTTTTCTCCATTCTGGAGAATTGTTCAATAATGACAACAGTGACATTTTTCCTCTTATCATTCAATATAGAATGCTTTCAACTCTAAAGTATTTTTTTTGAGAAATAATGATAATAATAATCTTAATCTAAAAATCTAAAAATATTTCCTCAAAAATATAGAATGCTAAGAGAGGGAGATTAGTTGCTTTAAATTTTCACTATTCAGGATAAATGTGATTTGCTGACAAGTAAGTCTAAAGTTTGGTAACGTAATTCTAGACTTTTTGGGTTACGTGTGTGTGTGGTGGGCAGAGGGCAACAGTCCTCTGATGGCACATGTTCCTGAAAGACAGCCAGGAGATTTCTATTATGCATTGTTTAGTCAAAATCTTTTTGTTTGAATGTGTGAGCAATCAAGTTAGGCTAATTTAACTTAAAAAGAACTTTCTGGAAGACTGTAGGGTATTGCATGGGTTCCAGGACAAATTTAAACAATTAGTCTTTAGGTACTTTGGGATCTCAGTGTTAAGAGATCGCAGGCTTTCTCTTTAGCATTCTCCCATCAATGCAACTCAACCAAAAATTCCCAGTCCCTGTGTTTCTCAGATTGTGTAGAAAGAAAGATCAGTCTACCTTGGATCAAGCATTCACAGCTGAACCCTAATTATGAAAAGGAAGAGGCATATGATCTGTACTATATCTCTATAACTTGACCTTCTACTTCTAGATGTTCATTTCAGTCACAGATGCCAGAGCTGTTAGAGACCATCTAGTTCAACTCCATTTTTCAGATGATGAAACATGAGGGAAGTTAAACTACACAGTCAGTAGCAGAGGCAAGGCTACTGTAGTATAAATCAAGAGACTCCAAGCTGTATTTCCAATTCTGTCCCTTTTCCCCACATTTCCTTGGCTATCACCTTTGTCTTAGCTTTTACTACCTCAGATCTGACAGATTATGAGAGACTCCTAACTGGCCTTAAGGATCTCCTCAGCCTGATTGATCCTCAATCACCAAAATGGATTTCCCCAAAGCAATTATGGTTGTGCTATTCTTTTAATTCAACTCAGGATCTCTAGTGGTTACACATTGTCCATAGGCCAGATTCCTCATTATGAATGCTAGTTTGGGCACCCGGCAAGAGTCCATAAGAAAGTGGAGGGATTCTTGGGGCCTCATTTCTCTGAAAATAAGATTAAGGGATTAATTAAACACCAGATAATCTCTGAGGTCCCGTTTATGCTAACGTTTTCAAGACCCTATGCCATTTGGCTTCAAATTATCTTTCAAGAATCATCTTCTCTAACTTCTTGATATAAACTTATCTTTATTCTCTCACATGTTTATATATTTTTGATGTTAGAAATATATTTTTATAGCACTTCAGAAAACATAAAGCTCAATATTTAAAAGCTACGGAGCAATGAAACTTTTTTCCTCTCTTCAAATGAATTTATTAATTCAGCTCTTCATGTTTCATAAATTGTCATTGATTTGGTAATTTGATGAAAACATTTATATACAAATATTGCACTAAAGTATAAAATCTACGGACACAAAGAAGTTTATTCAGCCATATATGTAATCTTAGAATAAAATAGTCTGAATACAAACAAATAAATAAGACAGAAGAATACAATTTTAAAAAGCACTTATACTAAAGGAGTTTGATTATATATGCCCCCAGAGATAAAATTTCATTAGAACCACCTTCTCTCTATCCTATTTTGTATCTCATATAGTACTTTGCTTTTATGGTGGGAGTTTATCACTAAACTTAACATTTTTACGTCTTAATTACTTTATTGTCTTTTTTCAAAAAGATTTGACATACTGGAATAAAACCAGTCATTGCCAAGCTTTACAAAAATGTATATAAAATACTAAACTCTCGTAGGTTCTTCTGAATGGTGCTATCCTAGATAGCTGCTTTCTGTATAGTTATTCTTTTTAATGCCAACATTATTATTCACTTTGTCATTAAAAGGAAATCTTTATATAATGAGGACCTCCTCCTCAGATGATAATGAACATAGCTCAGTATTTTCCTTATGATTAAAGTTATCCCCAACCTTTTCCCTTTCTTTCAGAATCATTTACTGAGCAGACATTGAACAAACTGCTGGGGATGCTACTATACTGACTCTGTGTAGGACCTAAGTAAGTACAAGGGGACATGCTCAGGGCACATCTGGAATGGCAGGACACAAGTGGTTGAGCACTGCAGGCCTGGAGATGAAAAGGTGTTGCAAATGCATTGTAACTGATGTGTCTTCATATTTTTTCATTATCGTTCAATACATATCCTTTAAACTAAAGCTAATATCTCCCACTTATGTCCTGCTTTATTCATTACCAGATGTTCATTCTCTTTTAATTTTCAAAAACAAACCAAAAACAAACCTGCAAGATAAATGGGCCTGTAGTACCCTTCTCATCTGTAGGTGAGGAACTCTAGGCCCTATAAAACTGAGTGAATGCCTGGACCCCACAACATGTGTCTGGTTGAAGTGAGGATGTATTTGTCTCCTAACTCCTAATTCAGTCTCCTTTCATTATCTTAACCTATTTTCCCACAAAATAAGAGAAGACAGTATTTCTGAGTAAGAATGGAAATTTGGTGAAAAGGAATACATCAGCTCACTTCAAAAAACATCTAGATCCTACAAGGTTGGCAAATCTCCACATGGGTGGGGCAGCTGGAGCACAGAGTCCCGACTCTCATCCTTGGAATCCACTTTCCCCTAAGGGATTTCTTAGTGCCTTGTTACACTGGCCCAGGCAGGCATCCATGTCACTTTCTTAACTCCCCACAGCACAGCTGAGAAATACTTTTTTCATTTTTTTTAAACAGTGATTGATGTATTCAGATTTTCTACTCCATCTTAGATCAACTGTAGTCATTTATATTGTGGGAAATGCATCCATTTCATCTAGTTTTAAAGTGGTTGTTACAGTATTCTCTTATAACTTTCCTTTATCTTTCACATATGTTTACTTATGACCTTTCACTCATTCCTAATGTCTTTTTCTGGCCTCTCTTTTTGCCTTGATTAATTTTGCCAATGGTTTTATTTTATTCAATTAACAACAGAAAGAACAATAGGGAGGGATTATTTGGGATAGATAAACTCCATCCATTAAATAAATTTTTATTATGCACTCTATGCCAGGCACTGATTTGGGGTTTAAATACTGCTGACTGGTGAGGTGACCCTATGACCTGATTTATGCCTATTTTCAGGTGTAATAATTAACAGCACTCCTTTTTACTCTCAGAAGTGTCCTAGATTGCAAAATAATTTGCATGATCAACCCACTGATGGGTCAAATAAAATTAAAGTTGAAATATACAAGTGGTGGCCTTAACAAGATAAGTTTTGGTGGACTATAGAAGATGGAAGTCTGACTGGAAGGGTTTAAAAAAAAATAGAGAACAACCGGAGACAGAATGTTCAATTATTGTGAAGAGTTTTGCCACAAGAGAGAGAAGAAATGAGACAGAAGGCAGAGGAAATGGAGTTGCTTGCTATTTCATCTATTTCTGCTTTAATCATTCCTGTTTCTTCCTTCCACTTTCTATGGGCTTATTTGGGTTATTGCCTAGCTTCTTAGGTTAATGTGTAACGCATTTGAAGTGATGTATATCTCTCCATGAACAAAATATATAGGTTCTGATATGGAATATGGAGTGCTTTCATTTTCATTCATTTCTAAATAATTTGAAACTTCAATTTTGACATTCTCTGCAAGCAATGAATTATTTAGAAGTGACTTAAAACTGTCTAGATGCCTGGATTCAACTTTTTCAAAAAATTTAATTTTAATATACTGTGATCCATTAAGTGGTCTATATATACATGTTTTTTAAATTTTTTGTAAAATCTTTCACCTTCTATAGGGGCAATTTTTGTAAATGTTGTCTGAGTAAATGAACAAATTGTGTGTTGTCTGTTGGGTGAGTTCTATGTATGTCTACTAGCATAAGCTAGTTAATTATATTATTTAAGTACTCTATATTTTTACTCACAGTACATCATAGTGGGAGACTAATGATGTGGATTCATTAATTTCCCTTTGCGATTTTTATCAATTTTTCATGTATTTCAAAATGTTATTTGGAGCATTTAAGTTGATGATTATTATTTCTGCTTGGTGAATTATTTAACAACGTGAAATGTCCTTTTTTGATACTTTTAATGTTTTTGACTTTCAATGCTATTTTGCCTGATATTGATGGTGCTGTTGCCAACTTTCCATTGGTACTTGCTAGGAATGCTTTCGAACTTTGAGTTATCACAGTTTTGGCTTTCTCTAGTGAGCTGCACATAGCTGGATTCTTAAAAATCCAACCTATTTTGTCCTTTATGAAACAAACTTATCTAATTCATATTTATTGTTATTTTTGATAAATTTAGACTTATTCCTATCATCGTATTTTGTGTTTTCAGTTTACCATCCTTTCTCTCATGCTCTTGTTTCCCCTTCTCAGCCTTTTGATGGATTAATGGAATTTTCTTTGTTCCTCTTTTCATTTATTGGTTTGAAAGCTGTACACATTCTGTTTTTATTCCTCTGGTGGTTACACTTAAATTTTTATCGTAAGTGGTTATATTTTTCTAACAGTATCCGAAGTTATTAACTATCCATTGATTTCTTTGATTAATCTTATAATGCTTTCATTTTCCTAAGACCTTCATCAGCACCCTGCTTCCATATTCCACATCCCATGTTGACATAATCTGAAATTTTGGCACCAGATTATTTCTAAAAAATAACTTTATAATCATATCTCATAGAAAAAACAGTTTCATTATTTTTTTGCTAACTATTGCAGCTCCTTGTTAAGTCCTGAATTCATTCTCTTTGTATATTCTCTAGTAGTTTTTTCAGATTTTGGAGAGGATCTATTGGCTTATTAAAACTCTGAATTCTTGGATTTTTGAAAAAAATCTTATTTCATCCTCACAATTCAATGATATTAAGGTTGAATGTAGGAATTTAGATTTGAACTTCTTTACCTTCAGCAAACTAAAGAAATTGCTCCAATGTCTATTTTCATCCAGCATCATTGATGAAACATCTAATGCCAAATCTGATTAGAATTACTTTGAATAGTCTTTCTCACCCTCTCTGGAAGCTTTAGCAGTTTCTCTATCCTTATAGCTTTTAGCATATTGACTATACACTTAATGTTCTGAATTTGCATTACCTTTGTATGGATGTGGGGCCTTTTGTCTTTGTTGTATGTATATTTATTTATTTAAATCCCACTCTATAGTTGGTGGACCATTTCAATCTGAGGATTTATATGTTTCCTCAACTATAAAAAATTTCACGCTATTATTTCTTCAGATTTTATGTGCCTTCTATTCTCACTATTCTCTATTAGATAGATGCCATGATTTATAGAACTCTTACCTCTATAGAATTTCTTACCTTTGTGCATTCCTAGGCTGTCTTTCAAATATCTAATTTCCTTTTCGGCTGTGCCCATTTCACTTCACATCTGCTGAATTTTTCATTTCAATAATTACATTTTTTATTTCCAAGGTTTGTCCTTGGTTTGTTTTATAATAGACCATTCCTGATTCATTATTGTAACGTCATCCTATGTCTGAAGACACTAACTAAACTTGTTTTAAAGTCCTTTTCTTATCACTCTGTTAAGTTTCTCATAGTTGGAATTCTTCTGTTGGGTTGTTGTCTATTTTTCATGGTGGCTGCATGCCAGATGGTAATTTTTGACTATAGGCTCATCTTTGTGGGTTGGCTTCTCTATTGAACCGATTATACTCCTATTATATTCCCACAGCCAGCCTTTGGGGTGGTGTAGAAATAGCTATTGAGGTTTGTGCTCTCCACTGTTTTCAGTGAGAATGAGGAAAAGGTGGGACATAGGCTGGGTGATATCTCAAAAGCCAGTGTCCTGGCCTTAGTCATTCCATTTGGGCATTGCTAGGCCCTGACTCTCCTTCAGCACAGCTCCTGCCCACAGACAGACCTGAATGGGTGGAGAGGAGGAGAGTGGGATACACATGGCATGACCAGTGTGGATATCCCTACTCACTTCCCTGCCATTTGCACCGAATCCCTCCTTTCTGCTCCTGGCTCCTACCACCTGTAGGCATGAGGAACTCAGTGATGCTCCCATCTTGTGTGGTAGTACTTCCCAAAAGGCTCCAGCACAAATTCCAGGTTGCGATTACCCTCTTCAAACTTATGCTGTGTACTTTTTGACTCTTAGAAATTTCTCATAATTTTGACTAGCCAAAAATTTCTCTTTGAATTCACAGAACAAAGTACGTATTCCAATACTTAAAAAAGAAATCTAAGGCTTAGAGTGGAAGGACAGAGGGAATTGGGGAAGGAGGGAACATTGCTTTGTACAATTAATTTACCATTTTGAAGGCATTTTTATTGTGGGTTTCCCTTTTTATTATTTATATTAGAGATATTAACTAATTGTTACCTATGTTGTAGATATTTTTTACGTCTTTTAATTTTATTTACAGTTCCTTCTGAGATACAAAATTTTACATTTTTATGAGGACCAATCTGTTCATTTTTTACTTTAAGATTTCTGGATATTGTATCATGCTCAGGAGGCCTTCCTAATCCATAATTAAAACCTATTTTCCTATAGTGCCTTCTAATATTTCATGGTTCGGTCTTTTGTGATTAGTTAGTTCATGTTTAGATATGGATCCATCAGGATTTTAATTTTATGTGTGGTGTGAGATTTCGTGTGTGTCCATTCTCCATTTTCCAAATGTAAGTTTGCATTGCCATTGTCCTTCCCTGCTCCACTAACTTGTTTTGGATGGGTGGGTGTACAGGAGCAGTTAACATTTTTTAATGTCTAGGTCATCAAACCATAAAAAAACTCATCAGAATTTAATGGATTGGACTGTACAGCTCTCAGAGTTCTTAATCTTTGAGATGAATGTGTTAACTGCATGGGATTTTGGGTCTTCTCTTTTGGGGAGGAGATGAATGTGAAGAAGGGAATACATGGATATCCCAGAGAAGCTAACTGTGGCAGAGAGCACTAATTGTCCACTGAACCAATTCTCCAAATTTCCCCTTGGACACGTAACGGGAGTCCATCTCTCTGCCTCCTCACTGTTAGGTATAGCCATGTGAACATGTTCTCCCCA